TGTAAGTTTAAAGGCTTGGAGAAAGAAGATAAAATTTGGCATTAATAGCACATATTCAGTACAGTGGATGCAGTGGAGTGTTATTTGTTAAATTATACTCTGTACCGAGAGAACTCGCACCATTGGTCTCTTAAACACAAAGATTTATATCACAATATTTTGGTACAAAAATGATTGCTCAACTTGAGAATATGCTAAATATTTGTTGGGAAATAATTTTGTCATTTGAATAAAGAATGAAATGGAAAAGAATAAAATGTTCTCATAAATGATTTACAGTGTGGTGAAAGCGTGAACTTAGTACATGATAATCGTTGCATCATGTTTGGAATGGAAAAATTTATTTCAGATTATTTTAACGTCTAAAGTCAGAGTTAATTGATGTTTAAATGATAATAGTTGTATCTTTTCCATCAAATTTTCGTTCAATACTTAGTTCCTTGAACGGCTTCCTTGAACTATATTTATGCAACAAAATTTTATAATTGGTATCAATTTATTGATGTATAATGTGAAGATCAAGCTAGAAGACCTTACACTTTCTCTGTCAAGATTTACCTCATAATTCACAAATATTTTAAACGCATTTCTTTTAGCTTTCTTTCTAGTTTTTCTGTTGTTGCCTACTGATGTTTGTAAATATCTTATATGTGTCACTGTTCAAAGGCTTTCTATATTCATTGATGAGATATGCATGCCATAAAACATTTTTGAGTCTATTCCCTGATCCTGCTCAATGTGGTGCAGAACACACAAGTTCAGGAACAAATAATGAAAGCGCTTTCTTATTCAAAAATTTTCAACCATCTTATACAATAATATGATAATATAATTGTCATTAATGGGAAAGTACCTTCTTTTGCCTCCAGCAAAATTAACGTATGACTCTCTAGCTTGTTATTTGGTTGCAATGAAAAACTTGGTGAATTATGGGCTCCAGTTTGTCTCCTGTCTAAACATCTAACAACTGTACCTCTTATTCTGAACCAAAAGTATAAATCTAACATGAAAGTAAATGGAAGAGGATCGTTGCTCGGGTGCTTAAATTCATCTCACCATGTATATATGACAGTTTATGTGGATCAAAGGAAATAGGAAAACTGTGGTTCATTTTGCGCATATGTTAATATAGAACTGCCAGGCTAAAGTATTGTTTTATTTTTCTTGTACTGAGTACTTATCATCTCACTGGTCCCTTCAAATACTATGCAGCCTATTTTCCTGTTGAATCTATTTCATTATTTCAATATAGAGTTTCTGCCGTAATTACACATTCTTTAAGTTGTATGCCAGAAGCTACTTTTCCAATATTCCTACTGTAAGGCAGACATGTGCATAACTTCCTTCCCTCGTAATGTATTTTCTATATTATAGGCAACCTCATATATTTTCCATGGCTAGGCCTCCTTTTAGTGTCACAATGAATGATAACGGTACATCAAAACCATCATATAAATGGCGAAGGGTGTTGCTAAAAGTAAGCGGAGAGGCACTTGCTGGAGATCGAACACAAAACATTGACCCAAAGGTTTGGGCAGTTAAAGCTTATAACGGTTTCACATTTCTGAAATTGTTAGAGATCCCTAATGCATGTAGAATCTTTTTACAGATCACAATGGCAATTGCAAGGGAGGTTGCATCCGTTACCCGGCTTGGCATTGAAGTAGGTTTTCCAATACATCTGATGGAAAGAAGTTCAATTATCAGTTTAACAAAAGTACACGATTGCGTAGCTATATACCAGTGAATTCTGTAAATGTCCAAACAACTGTCAAAAAGAACAATTAGTCTGATCTCATAAACCAGATGCTTTTGATTAATACAGACATTATGTTTGAACAGTCATTTGCAATTCTTTCAGGTTGCAATAGTTGTTGGTGGAGGAAATATATTCCGTGGATCCTCCTGGGCAGGTAGCAGTGGCCTCGACCGCTCATCTGCTGACTATATTGGGTACGTACTTCTGGAGTTATCGGAGTTTATCTTTTATGAGTTCTTTTATTTGTACATGTAATTAGCTTTCTGAAGAGAGTTTTTTCACATCTCCCGTTCTCTTGTATATGTCTAAGTTGCATTAATTGTTGCAATCAATAAAGTTTCAGTTAATCCATTGTTTAGGATGTTAGCAACTGTCATGAATGCAATATTTTTGCAAGCAACAATGGAAAGTATTGGCATCCCAACAAGAGTTCAGACTGCATTTCGCATGTCAGAAGTTGCAGAACCATATATACGTAGAAGAGCTGTTCGGCATCTGGAAAAAGGACGTGTAGTAATTTTTGCAGCTGGAACTGGAAATCCCTTCTTCACAACAGATACTGCTGCAGCCCTTCGGACTGCAGAGAGTGAGTTTGATTACTTGGACCATGCTGATTACTTGTACTTGTATATGTTATAGAGCTAACAATTGCCTTCAGAAATATATTAAAAACCCCAAATGGCATGCACGTGGATTAGGGAGTTACTCATGCTTCTTGGGAAGCACTTTTCTAAGCCTCTATATTTATGCATCCATGTAGTCTAGTGCTTGTCTGGTAGTGCTTATAAGTTGTTGTGTGGATATTAAGTTATGGGTCCCACAAAATATGTGGACACAAGTATGTTAAAATTTAAAATTTGCAAAACATGCTTTAATTATATCAGGTTTTCTTTTTAAGAATATTTCGAACTATTTGACAATCTTTGCTCGATTTTTCTGTCATAAAATATCCTCTACCATTTAAGCAGTATGTTGCTTATAAATCTCTGAATATATTCGCGTCATTCTGAAGTTATTTTAGTATGAAGATGATCATTTTCCCATATTTGAGTTGCTGTAGTCATTGATACTTCTCTTCTAATATCTTAAGTTGTGAGAAAGAAGATGCTCATATTTATATAAATTTAGTCTTGGACATGCTCGCTCACATGCAGATGAGGTTCATAAGGCCGAACATGTGCACAATTATATACATGGGTAGCGGAGAAAATTAATCTTAGGATTTTTGCATAGTCTAGTATCATGATAAAATGCCTAGTAATAACCAAAAATGTTAAAACGGGACAGATTTATTTATTTTAGTAGTCTTTAAGAGTAGTAAATAACTCTTTTTATTTCTGAACTAATGTGTATAACTTGAGGGGAAGAAAAGAAAATCTAATGTTGAACTTATGAATGTTGGAAAAGTTAATGCGGAGGTGGTGCTGAAAGCTACAAATGTTGATGGAGTTTTTGATGATGATCCGAGGTCTAATCCTAATGCTTGTCTTCTCGATACTCTAACTTATCAAGATGTAATTTCAAAGGATCTATCCGTAATGGACTTGACTGCCATTACTTTGTGCCAAGAGAACAACATTCCAGGTGAGCCTCTACAGTCTGTCATCAAAAACTACCGAAATTTCTACTACCATATGAATCGACAGACTAATATTATAAATTGTACTCTTTACTGAAGAACTGTTTATTTTCTTTGACGCAGTTGTCGTGTTTAATATCAACAAACCTGGGAACATATCGAAAGCCATTATGGGCGAAAGGGT